TGGGGTATATGTAGTGATCTGTTGACTAGCTCTATCAATGTTGAAGTGTATTTATATATTGTAGCGCTAAAATGTGTTCATTGAACTATGAATAATAAACCTTTATGTTTTAGCTGGTGTGTATGTTTGGGTATTGTTAACCATTAAGTGATTTCAGTGTGAAGATAACAAGGTGCTCACTCTACAGGCCTGACGAAGGCATCTCTTTGAGTAGTTTATAGACACTGGCATTAAATAGTGAGAGCAGATCATTTCAGATGAACGGGAAAGCGGTTGGGGCCTTGGTCCATTTTTACAAGAGGGCCAAAAAACAAATCAACTAATTCCTTTTTTTTTTTTTTACTCGTTAAGTACAATTTTTGACGTTCCTTGTTTTGTTTGTTTGTTTGTTTGTTTGTTTTTAAGATAACAAATCAGGAACTTTGCTGGTTAAAAGGTTTAACATGTTTCTTTTTAGTATAACGTTATAGATGTAGGCCAATATAAAAACATGCATGTTACACACACATATGTTTATATATAGATATTGTTTTTCTTTGTTTTTCCTTTCTCTTTCCTTTTTTGTTCTATTGTTAGTGTGTTCAAGTATTTATTCTGAAACTTCGAGCTAACACGCTATTTTAAAAACATATCCCTCTATTTAAGTCTGGGGCTAGTCTAGTAAGTTGAGATTTGAATGTCACAACAGGATGAGCCTAACACATCGATCTAAATAGATGACTAATTAGTTGACTCTCGCTCGTCAAAGATAACACAACTAATTCTAAGCGTGGGTGAGTGCTTGACTTGTGGAATAATGAGTTTTTTCCTGCATTCCCTTGTCAATAAATAATAAAATTAATTTTTTAAAAAAAGCTAAATAAAAAAATGATTGAATAAATAAAGCAAGACAATAAATCTGTAAAAAAAAAACGTGAAACATTGTTAAATCAAAGATCTGTCTGTGTAGTTATTGTAGATTATAAGTAATGGTGATTGATGGACCATCCAGTACTTACATGTTTTTAAGACGAATTTTTGGACAACCTGGCAAAATGTATCTTATAAATTGTCTGGTACTGTACTGTTAGTGAAGTAACATTTTAATCTGAGACTTGCATCTTACATTTCTACAAGGAAGATGGACAGATGGTGTGAGATTCACAACTTCATTAGCCAAAAAGATAATGATGTAGCTAGCACAAAGAAAATCTGCCTTTATTTTATCTAACAAAATTTTTGTGTCCATAGGAATTAGAAAGATATTCTCAGACTTCGTTGGTAGACCTTTGCGAAATTTCAAGCACTCTGTTTGAAACCCAATAACTAGTCAAAATATCTAGCCTAAGAGCTTAGTTCAAATATTCATTTTAAAAGCAATGCTCACATTTTTTTTTATTTAGTATATCCTGTTTAATTTTTATCCAACCTAGAAATAGAATAATTTTCTTTTTGGGAGTATAATTCTTACAATTAAACTCAATAGATTAATAATGTACTTACCGACGATTAATTAGGTTTTATTTTGATCTACTTTCTAGGTAAGCAACTTGTTTATCGTCAGCCTGGCTGTTGCCGACGTCATCGTCGGGATCATCGTAATGCCCATGAGCGCCTTCTACATCTTCACCGATCGCTGGATGCTTGGAGTAGCCGTCTGCCAGATCTGGATCGGAGTGGACTACACGGCTAGCACGGCCTCCATACTCAACCTCTTCATACTCAGCCTGGACCGCTACTGGTCTGTCCGGCAACCCCTCAAATACTTGCACAAGAGGACCAAGCGAAGGGCGCTGAGCATGATCGGGGTGGTGTGGGCTGTGTCCTCCCTGTGGATCATCCCCATCTCCAGCTGGCACTACTTTGCACACGATGGCGTGCGCACGGTGGAGAACGACAAATGCGACACGGAGTACGCGAAGAACTCTGCGTTCAAGCTGGTCACGGCCTTTTTCAACTTCTACCTCCCGCTGTCTGTGATGTACATTCTATACTTCAGGATATTTATTGCGATAAGGAGACGGTCAGAGTTTGAGCTGGGTCAGCGCAATCCTGGAGGCACCGTTCTGTCCTACAAGTCCAACGCGCCCAACTCTGCGGACGAAAGTGAATGCAACGATGATCTTTCGTGCTCCATTGATTCACGCTACGTCGGAAGCCTGGACATGCGGCCGAGGGAGAATGGTACGCGAAACCATGTGGCAACCAACGGTCCTAGAAATTTACGTGTCTTGACTATGAAGCGGGTCGGTGTGCCGTGCGCTTACAGGGATTCTAAACCTTTTAAAGTGGAGTACATTTACGATGAAAACGTCATCGACCCGCAGACAGAAAAGATTGAGAGATATTATTACGAAGACCATTACCCCATACCATGTCTCTCCCGCCCTACGTGGGTAGTTGGTCACGAGAAAATGGCCACCACAGTTGGCCATCGCCCGGGCAGATTGCGAAGCCCAAGAGACTTCTCGTCCCTAAAAGTGCCATCAACCTCATCCATCGCCAGCAGCAGCAGCTCCGCATCAAAAGACCTACACCAGATCTCGGTGCCAAACTATATGGCAGTGGGATATAAGAACAACGCTGTCGTCAAGAGAAGCATCTTTCGAAGGTCTAGGTCTCCGAACCCTCCGTCAGCGCTGAATGACGTTCGATTGGAAAGCTACAGGAAGTTCCAATTGGACGAAGCTTCCTTCGCGCCGACGCTGTACAAAGTCGCTACCAACACATCATCCTCTTCCTCCTCCTCCGCCAGCACATTCGGGGAGGAGAAGCGAAGAAGCAGCGATGTGTCAAGGGACATGACTCGCGTGGAGAAGTCGCACCTCAGAGAGAACTACTCCGTGGTTGGAGGGGTACGAAAGCTGCGTCAGGTGGAGTCGTTTCTCGACCAAACGGCTGGTCTCGGACTTGCCTCAAACGTAGGCCTGGACATTTCCTCCTCGAGAAACGTGGAAGACTTCGACAGCGTTCTGCACGACGAGAGAAACAGACGACTCACGGCTGGAGTTACAGGACTGAAAGAGCGGCTAAGGACCATCCGCCAAAGCTCCTCGCTCAATAAAGAGATCAAAGCAGCCAGGCAGCTTGGGGTCATCATGGGGGCTTTCACTCTTTGCTTTCTTCCCTACTTCATCCTTTTCTTAGTGGTGGCCTTCTGTGACAACTGCATTCGACCGGGCCACCTGACAGCAGCTACCTGGGTGGGCTACCTCAACTCCACGCTCAACCCTTTTCTCTACCCCCTGTGCAACGCCAATTTCCGAACCAAGTTTCGCAGCATGCTTTCCTGCTGCGGCAAGAGTCGAAACAAGTCCCGCAATGGACACCAAGAGTACTGTGAACGGAACACAGCATTTAATTCCAGATATGATTAGTAGAGGATGAAACGACTTTAGTCAAGTCCAGACACAAGTGAAGGAAATCCCCTATAACTATCATAGTTTTTTTTTTAATCATTTCATCGCTTAATTGTTCACTAATAAATTGTTCATTATTATTTTGTACACAACTTTCGCACAAAGAAAATCTATTTCAACAATCATTGTGATACACACAACATTGTCACACAGTCAATTTGTTGTTCGAATATGCATAAACTATGTAGATATCTATCGCTGACTTTGAGTTGTTTTTTTAATGTACATTAATGCGCGTAGAACGAGACCATGAATCTAATTTACCCTTTCCAGCTAGCTACAGTTAAACACGTGATTATCTAAATCTCATGTCATAAAGAATATTAAGAAGTAGCAAAAAAGGTTTTAAAACTCATTCTTTTATTATGAAGTTGATGGTCTTTTATAGTTTCTCATTCCATTCATTTATTGCAATGCTTCTATATTGTAAGAAGTCTTTCCACTGAGTTTTACAAGATCTGGTCTATCCATTAACAGTTGATTTCTACATAACACTGTTCGCAAAATGTTCATGTCTATTTCGTTCAACTCCTTACTGAATAAAAAAGAAATGTTTGAGTCAAGTGCGGGAATACCCGCTGAAAATGTTTTCAAACTAGCCAAATTTAATTTTAAGATGAATTTATTTTAAAATATTAAAACGGTCAAACCAGTTTTCACTGGGTGTGGCCAATTGGCTAGTTTTTTTCCCCTTAATATTTACATAAAGTTAATTTCTAGGAAAATCATTACAAAATCGATGTCCAGCTGTGGCTGAGCAGTAAAGTGCTTGACTTGCAGACCAGGGTCCTGGGTTGGAATCCGAGTGAAGACCGGGATTTTTAATCTCAGGATCGTTGGGCGCCCCTGAGTCCACCCAGCTCTGATGGTAACCAGACATTAGTTGGAGAAAAGTAAAGGCGATTGGTCAGATAGCAAGGTCTGAAAGGGGAACTTTATAGTAAACTGGTGATGTGTACCACAGCTCCCGATTAAACAGTACCGGTACTTTCACACATAATTAATTGTGTAATCAATGCATAATACATAAACTGTATTTATTTCAGTCAAATAAGTTCTGACTGGTAGAGACTTGGCTAAACTGAAGGTTTTTGTCTTGGGGAAATATTTAGTTTTGTTACTGAAGATTGCAATTGTTGGTCAAGTTATTTGATTGCATGATTAATAAGTGGATAACAACAGCTGGTCACAGAAAAGGGGTCAACTTTACATATCTTACTTGCTCTATAGAAATTTATAGCGAGATCATTAAGTGATATAAAACAATAATTGAAACTACTCCATGCTAAAAATAGTTAAGTTCCCCTTTCAAACCTTGTGGTCTATAGGGCAGATGATGTAAAGGTCATCTGTTTCTGTGGCCTACGGTTAACGAGGGTGTCATGTGGCCAGCACAACGACCAACCTCCTTTACTTTTCCCTAACTAATGTCAGGTACCCATTAGAGCTGGGTGGACTCAGAGGCGCCCGAAGATCCCTGCTACATATACCTCAAAAACATTTTTAAAATGGCTTTTCAAAAAGCTTACAAATTTAAATTGTATGTCAATTTCACTCAGCCAATTGCTTATAAATGAAAATTAATAGAAACAAAAAAACTCAGTTTTTATGTTACTTGGAAGCAGTGTTATTTATTTTATACCAGACAGAATATCCAATAAACAAACAAACATAAAATCTTTTGAACCCATTGGGTAAAAAAAAATAATTCTTGAAAAGAATTTGATAAAAATGTCAAACAAAATAAATGTATAATGGACAATACCTTAATAAAGGCTGCCTATACCTCATTGAACTGTTCCCTTCTATAAAATACAATGTTTGGATTTCACTAGTTTAATGTGTGTCTATAAGAAGAACCAGCACTAAGTAGGTAGAACTAGAACAAAACCAAAAATACAAGTCCATACAAATAAAGATAAAAAGACAAGTTATAAATACTTATAAATGCTTCAAAAGTGTACAAAAGAAATAAAAAAAAACTTGTGACATGAAAAATATACTTTGTTTTTCCTAAACGTATCTCTAAGCTGTGTGCTATGAGACATGCTACTACTAGCTAAGACATTGTCCAGTAACAAAGTTGATCAACTTGTTCACAATAACATCTGGAAATGTACAAACAAATAATTAGACCTGTTACAAGAAAATCTCATATCCAATGTGTTCTGACTCTGACCAGAGTTAACATCAGACATGTAAGGTAATAAATGATGAAATAAATACAAATTGTTCGCTGAATACAATATAGGCAGACAACTGGCTTCTCTGTTTGAACACAGTCAGGCACTAGGAAATGATCAAGCTAGATGAACTACATCACCTAAGCAACACATGATAATAATAATGAAAATCTCATTCACATCAGCTCTGACCTAAATTAAAAAAAAAAAAATGACTGATTTATTCATTGCAAATATAACTGATCAATGTGTAATCTCAATATATAAATATATATAGTTTCTTATAATTCCATTATCCTGTAATACACTGCTTGCACATCAATAGTGTAAGCAGATGATACAAAATAGAAACATTAATTTAAAAAATAAACATGCTAATTATATTTTGTTAAGGAATCACTGGACATAAAAGAAACTTGCAAATTCATTGCCACTAATTAACGGCCCTTTTGGTGATACATATATCTATTGCAACTAATTGACAGTCCTTTAGGTGATAAATCTTTCTTACAGCCAATTTTGATTTTGTTCTAATGAAGAAATCCTCTCTAAACGTACTGTGGAGTTAAATGAAACAACCTTTTTGTCACAATGATATCATATCATTAGAGGGTCACATCTATTGAGCTCCATTATTGTGATACAAGTTAAAAAATACATGTATACAATGCATAAAACTATACTTAGTTAAATTTAAGGAGGAAAAAAAATGTGTTGAAACTAAAATATGTACTCGTATGTGTAGCATAATATGTACTCGTATGTGTAGCATTATCTTTAAAAACAAACATTATGTATGTGAAACATTCAAAGGGAATGTACTCCAATAAAAAGTCCATTCAACTTTTTCTTTTTACTTCAACAAGAAGGATTCCATTAGTTCTTTGATGCTATTGCTATCTCAGTGTTTCCAAACATTCAACAGAAACTATTTGTATGTAAATGTCAGTCACAACAGTATTTTATGCAGAATGTCCTTGAAGACAAGGTAGAGTATTCTTGGTGTCTTGTAATGGTCTGATGTTTCAAAGAGTTAATAAAGGCGTTTCTCATATCTACAAAATAAAACACAAACATATTTCAATGTATGTATGACATGTTGATTTCAGTAAGATTTCTATTTTAATGTAATCTAAATGTTTTGAATGACACATGAAATAACACAGAGCTAGTGACTATATTTCAAGGTTTATGCTGCATCAACAATATTTAGGCCTAGCTGTATAGGTACATTTATAAATGCCTAGCTGTATAGGTACATTTATAAATGCCTATTTGTCAATAAGCTATTTAAAACTAGTCATTCCTACTATCAAAGACAGGCACTGACATAAATGTATCGGAAGAGATGCAGTTACAGACATGCATAGAAGAGGGCAAGGGGGTTACTCCATAGTCTGATAAAAAATGTTGGTGTAACATCTAGCACAAAAAAAAAATCCATTTTCTGCAGTTAGACCATAATTTTTTTTACAATTATTAATATTTTTTGTAAATTTATAACAAGCAGTAGTCTGCAATTAAAAAAAAAGTAAGTAAGTATTGTTTTCTTATTAAGGATTTTTCCTGTTTCCTAGATTCTCTTAAGAGAGGGGAACTAAATCAACATAATCTTTATGAATAATTGTTAACAATATATAGAAACTTGTAGCAATTACTTCTCAGAGAATGTTTTGGCATTAATTTCTACTGTGTAGAAAGGCTATAGCAGAGAGTTAGCAAAAAATGTCACCAGTGATAGGGAAGCAAAACAAATAATGTCATAAAGGACTTAATAACTTACGAGTGGAGGCCATGTACTCCCCCTTCTATCTGAGCAGATGTTGTTCTTCTCTCGAATTTCAATTCTCCTCCATACATCATTGATCTGAGAATTAAATAATGTCGTACTTTAATCAATGAAAGAAATCAATGCAAGGAATGCTTTATTTTAATAAATAAGTTTTTAGAACTTTTTAGACTTAAGAAAACAAACATATTCACAATGACATTTTGTTGAGTCACTTTATCAACAACATCAATGCTATTTATACATTTAGGACTAACACAAAAAAAAACATCAAACTTGGAACAACTTTTATATTTACACACATTTATTTCTTTTTCAGTATTCATTTGGCCATAGACCTGAACCAGCTACTTAGAGAAATAGGATGAAAATCAAATGGACACATTTCTACATAGAAATTACGGACCAAGGGGAAATAAAACAAACACGTGTACATTTAAAAATGTGGCTAAAAATGTCCACACAAATTTCATCTTTAAAAACCAAAGAAAGAGATGAGGACAAAGGTAATGATAAATCCGTTCAACTCTCACGTACAAACACCTAAATCATGCATCCAAGTCACCAAGAATTGACAGTAACAGACCATTCTAAAACTGAAAAATGAAATCTGTCAGCTTCTTTAGTGATCTTTTTAAGAGTTGCATTATCTTAAGATCATCCCACACACCTAGGGTATGTAATATATATACATTTCTTTCAAATGCGTTAAAAGAAAATTAACTACTAGTTTCCTGGATGCTCTTATAAACTAAAACTAAGTCATAGTAATGTTGACCCATGGAGATCTAGATTTCAGACATGAACAAGAGATGCACCAACAAACAAATATACATAAGAGACTTATGCTTTACAAAAAGGAAATATCTTCCAATATTTCTAAGAGAGTGATTTGCAGCATAAAAATCAACTAAAGATTGTCTTTCTTAAACAACATAAAAACAGCAATGCAATGTGTGAATAAAAGAAATAGATTGAAAACACTCTCTACTGAATCATAATGCATGCTTAACAAACTGAACAACAAAGTACATATATCAATGTGTATACAAAAGTCACTTCTTTCATTCAATGTGTTATCAAGAATGAAAAAAGCACAACACTAAAATATCAAATTACAGATGATGAAAAGGAATGTGTCTGCCAAGAGAAAGAGCTCTATAGGACACATACAAAAAAAGCCACCCACAAGGCAATAACTCAACACTAGAAATATCAGCTCTGCTAAAATGAACATTTTTGAATTTAACAAATACATTTCAACTGGGATTGAAACAGTTATTGCATACACTGATCTACATATTAAATATTAATTGTCAAAAATAAAAATTATAGGCTGAACAAAAGCAACACAGTTGATTGGATTTTTTTTTTTTAGAATTAGAACAAAAAGTTACATCTAAAGATCACATAGGCCAATCTGATATAAATAGAAAAAAAAAAGCACAATAATCCAGTGTTTCTCAAACTTTTTACCCATAAAGCTGCCACACTCACGCCTGACAACTCACCAAATTAAAAAAAAAACTAATGAATTATCTGTAATGGGCATGATCCTTTCAGATAATCTTTGTTATGCAAAACATCTTTTGTAGTAGGCCTATTGTTTATCACTCAAAACTTGTATAAAAAATAAATTAAAAAAAGGTGTGATAGTCTGGAAAAATTCAACAGTTGTCATAAGAAAGTCCAATTGAATCACAACAGTGAAGATATATTAAAATCACAACAGTGAAGATATATTAATAGATATATTAAAATTTCTTCTTAAAAAATTATGTAATTTTTACTAGAATGAGATTCAAATACAGATTTAAAACTACAACACAAATAAATTTTTATTTTTTTCACATGAAAAAAACAACTAATACATTGAAAGTCTGCGATTTTTTTATCAGCATGTTTCCTCCCCCCCCCCCCCCCACCCCGGCACAACAGTTTGAGAAACACTGATCTTAACAAAAAAAAAAATTAATCCCATTTCTTTAAGAAATAAATTTCTGTAATTATTAAAACACAGTATCTTATACTGCAGACTCTGGTAAAATTATCTTATAATGGAAATGAAACCAATCAACTATGTTAAGTCAGTGGCTACCAACTCGGAAGTCTTTTATCGACCAAGTCTTTCTTTTAAAATTATGAATTGTATGAATTGTGATTATTCATCAACTAAATTGTATATGCATTAAATTTTTAAAAAAAGATTGGTAACCACCTTGCTAAGCAATTAAAGAGTGAATATCGTTGAACGTTTGACGTAGACCAGTGTATCTATAGAAGCTTTTTCTCCAGTGTAGACCACAAACTTGGCTAGTTTCAGAACAGGAGATATTAATTAAGAGTTTATAGAATACTCCCACCTCAGAGGCAATGTCTTGACAACTGCATTTAGTGGCATGCACTTTATCCATGTTAGATCTGAGGCCGACAATGTTAAATACATGTCACCAAGGCAACTTTGGTCAGGTTTTATTTTTATTTCTTATTTCAGTTAGATTAATTCATAGCTAAGACTGTTAAAAATTATGCTATTATGAAAATTGTAAATAAACATAGACAGTGTTGCAGACTATTATCATAAAAACATTTTGAGGATACACAGTTTATTTGTTCTTCGTAATAAAAAACAAACAAAGACATCCCAATACACAATTGAAAAACCAAATCAAACCACTCCATTGTATTCTAAGATTCAACACAGGTCTTGTCTATATCAATTTTTCAAAAATATTCTTGTATATCTAATAAGTTTAGAGCATAACTATTTACCTGAGAATAGACAAACTTTTAGCTCCAATATCCTGACAACCATGTTGTATTCCAGCAATAAGGTAAGGCAAGAATTTGTGAATAGAACCCTTATCAACAATAGAACCTGAGACTCCCTGAGCTACTTTGATCTTTTCACTTTCACTGTGAAGCAGAACAAAAAATACATCAATGTTTAATGACATTATTAAAGTTACAAACACTCTGAAATCAGTTAAATGAACATTTTGCACATAATGATTTATAATGGCATAAATATATGGAAAAAAAAATTGTGGTGCCCCCACAGATTGAAGAATAGGTGAAGGTGGTGGTGAATAAATTTTAGAAAATAAGAAAGGGTAAAAAGAAATCTGAATATTTTACTAAATTATAATGAGATTTAAGTTCTCAAGACAAATGCAAGTTAGAAAAACTACAAGATCTTGCCTGAAATAACGAGACTGTGATGCCTTGTGTTGCTCCATGGCATCTAATGATCCCATTCCACGATACTTCTTCAGACGAACACCATCAGCAAAAAAATATTCTCCTGGAGCTTCAGATGTACCAGCAAGCATGGAACCCATCATCACTGAAAGAATGAGTTTTATTTTTAAACAACTTCTTTATTAAATGTACAGACATTTAAACTCTGGATTAGCTTCCCTTTAATAAAAATCAAGATTTTCACCCTTTAATATATGTTTTTACCATGTATTATGTGATTAAACATGGGTGCTTAAAATTTCTCCCTCTTTTAACGTGGTTTTAGATGGAAGAGACATGGGATAATAATCTCAGGATTTTCAATTTAAGTGCTAAGGTGATATTTATAAAGTTTTGTGTGGTAGGTATGGAGATACATCATAAAAAATAATTTGAATTCACTTTAAATCATAAATATTTCCCATAGCCTCAATATCTATGTGATTGATCCGCAGTTGGGTGAGTTTTCATTTTCAATGTCATAATCCAAAAATTAAATACCTTTTGGCCCTATAAAGTTTAATTTGTTATCATATAAAAAGTATAGTATTCTGAAAAATGGGCTTTTGAAAGACCCTTTGACCATTGTTCTACAATAATGCCAAGTCTCACTTCAATAAAGATTTTAATAATTTACCATTGTTAAAAAATAATACTAAATACTACCATTGTTAAAAAATACTACTACCATTGTTAAAAAAAATAACAAGTTCCACAAAATGTGTTACTAGGAAAAAATTATTTACCTGTTGATGCACCAAGAGCCAGAGCTTTAATGATATGTCCTACAGATGAGATACCACCATCAG